AGGCGTGGAACCATAGTTTTGACGTTTTTTCGACTTTTTTTGGTGTATTTTTTTTACTTTTTCGAGCTGTGGTCTACAGTTGACTTTTTTTCGACTTTTTTTTGACTTTTCTTGAATCCAGTAATCCACCAAGGCGAGGAGCCACAGTTTTGACTTTTTTTACGTGTTTTTCTTCGATTTTTTTAGTTTTTTTTTACTTATTTTTTTGCCTTTTTCGAGCTGTGGTCTATGGTTGTTTTTTTTACTTTTTTTGACTTTTCAATTTGACGGTTTTTTTTAAAAAACTTAGACTTTTCCAGTTGATTTTTTTTGACTTGTTTTTTTAAATCACGGATTCTGGCCTTACCATATGAAAGTTTTAATAAAACTAGCTAAGAACCTGTGAACATGACGATCACATTGAAGGGTCCTTGCAGGAACAGGTGGTGAATGGTTGATGGGCTTTCCTCGGACAAGCCCACCAAATAGTTCAGCTCATGTGTGAGTCACTCATGTTTGAGGATGATCTCACTACCTTCAACATCCCACCGACACATCTCGCAAACTTCCAACGGTCCTTCAGCACATCCCGAAGCCCCGAACCCCCAGCAGAAAAGATCAACATCAACATTGCTTAGAGTTAAACATGTTTGTTCTCACATGTTTGATGATTTCTTGGATGAGACGCGGTTATTGGCCCTTGCGCCCGAGGCCCTGACTTCCCCATCTCTGGATCTACCGTTTGTGCTTCGGCCCCTGGGCATCAAGTGCAAACGACCACGCTGGCAGCGCTTCCGGAACGGCACGTGGCAGAGCTTTTTCGCAGCAAAAGCGCTGCTGAGACGGAATGACTTAGCGCCCCAAGTGCTGAGCCAACAGTGGCCGCAGGCCAGGATTGGGGTCCTTCAGAGACGCTGAGGATTGAGGGGTGTGAGTGGGTGTTCCTCTACACCCAGGAGTAAGGCAGACAGCCTCCTAGTTACGTACACTGAGTAAACAGCAATGCTTGCAATTTCAAGTCCTTTCCCTTCTCGAAGATGTGCAAGCATCAAGCCCCAACTCCAGTGAAACTGGGCTCCTTTGGACTTGGTATTTCTTTCGATGCACCGGACCCCTCAGGTGAGGCACTTCCTCCGGCGTGGCCTGGAGCAGTGGCTGACCAACGCGTCGACCGGCGCACGGAGCGTCTGGCCGGTGCTGCAGCGGAGGCTGATGATGTGCCTCGGTACCGACGGAGGGTGAAACGGTCAGTTGAAACGGCAGAACTGAGGCAGACATGGTATCGAAAAGGATGTCTAGAACTGAGCATAGCCTCGCAGAAGGGTAGCAACCTTTCATAACCGCTATGGCAGCTACGGTATCAATGGACCATTGTTTCGCAGCTCTCATGTCCACTTTAGAACCTTGACAAGTCATAGACGAGATGAAGAGATGTGGATCCAAACCAAGGTGATACGCTGACTCTTGGCGTTCCCCAGTGACTCACCTGACATCTCAGTCGTTTTTGACCGACCGACGGGGAAAAACCGTCTTCAGGGCCATCCAGCTCGACGCGGACGTCAACGTGCTGCGGCCGTTGTTGAGCCCAGCGTCCGAGAACGGCGTGGTCGGAGCATTGGCCTGCGAAGCGCTGGAGCACTGGCTGGCCGCTGGCGTGGAGGTCAGTGATGTGGCTGTTGGATCTGTTGGGCGTGGTTTCCTTTTGGTTTGGACTACTGTTAGAAAGAAATCAAAGTTTGCCAGACCAGGAGAGGACGATTGATGAAGGAGTTCTTCCAAGTTGTTTTGGTACCAAAATTCAAAGTAGATCATGTTCCGACTCATCAATCTCAATCAGTTTTTCTTGGAAAAATGCATTCACCAACGCTACGGGCTCCGAATCAGAGCTCACAAGCTTTCTTCTCCAAGAATGGTTCGAGCTTGTTCGGGGATGTTCAAGGGTTTTTTCTGCTTTTTGCTGTTGGCCAGTCGACGGTGAGACTCCTTGCATTGCCCAATCGGTTATATACTGTATCATAATTCCGGAAGTTCTTTTGGCTTTCTGACAGATCATTCGAACATCCTGAGGCTCAGAACAAGTGGAAAGGACGTCAGTAGTCGGTGAATGAGTGAGTGCGCGCCAGTCAGTCAGTCAGTCAGTCAGTCAGTCAGTCAGTCAGTCAGTCAG